CTCCATATGGATTTTTGGTTCCTCAGTATATGCCTCATGTGACTCATGGTGGTACCAATATGAATTTACAAGACTTTACTCCACAACAGATAGAACAAATGGTTTCACAGTTTCAATCTCAAGTTCAAGTCCAAGAGTCTGTAGCTACTTCAAGTGACTCTAGTCCTACTGCTACGATTTCAGAACATGGTTTAATGGCTCATACATCTACTTCTGGTAATAACTTTCCTTTTCCTTCTACTAGTCTTAAGTATGAGAATAATAATCTCACATTTCAAAATCATATCCTTTCTTCTTTACAAACTTTTTTACCTAATGATGCTTGGATTATAGATAGTGGAGCTTCTAGCCATGTTTGCTCAGATCTAGCAATGTTTAGAGAATTAAAGCCTGTGTCTGGTGTTACTGTTACATTACCAAATGGTACTAGAGTTTCTATTACTCATACAGGCACTGTCTATATTTCACAAAAATTGATTTTGCATAATGTTCTGCATGTTCCTGATTTTAAATTCAACTTGATAAGTGTGAGTTCATTGGTTAAGACATTGTCTTGTTCTGCACATTTTTATGTTTCTTGTTGCTTTATTCAGGAACTTTCTCAGGGCTTGATGATTGGGAGGGGTAGACTATTTCACAATTTATACATTCTGGAAACAGAGAATACATCCCTCTCTCCATCAGTACCTGCAGCATGTTCTTTCTCTGGTTCTGTGCATGATGATGGACATCTTTGGCATCAGCGTTTAGGGCATCCATCATCTACTGTTTTACAAAAGCTTGTTAGTTTCATTCCATCTTTAAAATCTTCAAATTCTGATGTTTCATCTTGTTCTATATGCCCTTTAGCTAAACAAAAACGATTAGCATATGTTTCTCATAACAATTTAGCTTTAAATCCTTTTGATTTAGTACATTTGGACATATGGGGTCCATTTAGTGTTGAATCTGTAAAGGGTTTTCGATATTTCCTTACTTTAGTTGATGATTGTACAAGAACAACATGGATTTATCTGTTGCGTAATAAAAAGGATGTTTCTACTGTTTTCCCGGCTTTTATACAGCTTGTTTCAACACAATTTAATTCTAAAATCAAAGCTATAAGATCAGATAATGCACCTGAATTAGCATTTACAGATTTAGTAAAAGAAAAAGGCATGATGCATTACTTTTCTTGTGCATACACTCCTCAGCAGAATTCTGTTGTAGAGAGGAAGCATCAACATCTTCTTAATGTAGCTAGATCACTTCTTTTTCAATCAAATGTTCCTTTACAGTATTGGAGTGATTGTGTGCTTACTGCAGTCTTTTTAATAAATAGATTGCCTTCACCATTGTTGCAAAATAAGTCTCCATATGAATTGTTACTAAAGAAAATGCCTGATTACTCATTGTTAAAAAAGTTTTGGTTGCTTATGCTATGTGTCTACTAATATGCATGAAAGAAATAAATTTTCCCCAAGAGCAAAAGCATGTGTTTTCTTAGGTTATCCCTCTGGTTTTAAAGGATATAAAGTCTTAGACTTAGAATCGCATTCTGTTTTCATATCAAGAAATGTGATTTTTCATGAAAACAAGTTCCCTTTTAAAACTTCAGATCTTTTATCCAAAGCTGTTGACATGTTTCCAAATAATATTTTGCCTTTACCTGCTCCTTTACATTTTGTTGAAACCATGCCTTTGAGTGATGAAGATTCTCTGGTTTATTCTACTGCATCAACATCATCTTCATCTGCATTACCCTCTAGTACCATCATTCCCACTAATAACACAGAGACAAATGATACAGGCCTTAATACTGTTCCTATTGCTAGGTCTAGGCGAATTACTAAAGCTCCTAGTTATCTTTCTGAGTATCATTGTTCTCTTGTTCCTTTTTGTTCCACTTTACCACCTACTACTATATCTACTACATCTTCTGCTTCTTCTTCTTTACCACTTACTCCTATAAACTCTACTTCTTCCAAAATTTCTATTATATCACCTTCATCACCTAAAAAGACTACACCATATCCTATAGCTTCGGTTATCTCTTATGATCGATATACACCACTTTTTCAATCCTATATATGTGCTTATAGTGTTGAAACAGAGCCAAAGAATTTTACACAAGCAATGAAATCGGAGAAGTGGACTAAAGCTGCTAATGAAGAGCTCCATGCTCTTGAGCTTAACAAGACTTGGAATGTTGAATCATTGCCTCCGGGTAAGAATGTTGTAGGTTGTAAATGGGTCTTCACGATCAAATACAATCCTGATGGTACTGTAGAAAGGTACAAGGCACGCTTAGTAGCTCAAGGATTCACTCAACAAGAAGGGATTGATTTTCTGGATACATTCTCTCCAGTTGCTAAGCTTGCTAGTGTCAAATTAATGCTTGCTCTTGCTTCTGCAAAAGGATGGAGTTTGACACAAATGGATGTATCCAATGCATTTCTCCATGGTGAATTGGATGAAGAAATCTTCATGAGTCTTCCTCAGGGCTACACTCCTCCTCAGAATACAAGTTTGCCTCCTAACCCGGTTTGTCGACTTCTTAAATCTCTTTATGGTTTAAAACAGGCCTCTCGTCAGTGGTATAAGAGACTTTCCTCGGTTTTATTGGGAGCAAACTTTGTTCAATCACCTACTGACAATACTATGTTTGTCAAGATTGAATCTGGTTCCTTCATTGCGGCTCTTGTGTATGTGGATGATATAATGATAGCCAGTAATGATGAGACTGCAGTGGAGAGATTGAAAGAATTATTGAGATCTGAGTTTAAGATTAAGGATCTTGGTCCTGCTAGATTTTTCCTTGGATTAGAAATTTCACGGTCTTCAAAAGGAATCTCTGTTTGCCAAAGGAAATATGCTCAGAACTTGTTGGAAGATGCAGGTCTACTTGGATGTAAGCCAAGTTCTATACCTATGGATCCTAATCTTCACTTGGTAAAAGACATGGGAACTCCTCTTTCTAATCCTACTGCATACAGGGAGCTCATTGGTCGTTTACTTTATCTCACAATTACAAGACCAGATATCACTTTTGCTGTGCACCAGTTAAGTCAGTTTATCTCAGCTCCATCAGACGTTCATCTTCAAGCAGCACACAAGGTTTTAAGGTACATTAAATCGAACCCTGGTCAAGGTTTAATGTATTCTGCTGATACAGAATTATGCTTGAATGCATTCTCTGATGCTGATTGGGCTGCATGTAAAGATACAAGAAGATCAGTTTCTGGCTTTTGTGTTTATCTTGGTACATCATTGGTTTCTTGGAAGTCAAAGAAACAATCAGTAGCTAGTCGGAGTAGTACGGAGTCTGAATATAGAAGTATGGCTCAGGCTACTTGTGAGCTCATTTGGTTGCAGCAGCTTCTTAAAGATCTACATGTTACAATGACTTCTCCAGCAAAGCATGACAACAAATCGGCATTGCATATCTCTTTGAATCCAGTGTTTCATGAACGTACAAAACATATAGAGATAGATTGCCACACGGTACGAGATCAGATCAAAGCTGGCAAACTCAAGGCTCTTCATGTACCAACGGGTAATCAACATGCTGATATTCTCACCAAGGCCTTGCATCCAGGTCCTTTTCACAATCTCCTTCAACAGATGTCTTTGTCAAGCCTATATCATCCAAACCAGACACTTTGATGATATAGACTTGAGGGGGGTATATTGAGTATACTACATTGACCGGTTTATTCTGGTTTTAGTTAACCAGTTTCTGGTTTAATCTTATGTATATAAGCTAAACTTTGTTTTACATTTAGATTAAGCTTTGTAACAATACTTTGATGAGATTAATAAAGTTTGTTTCTTCTGTTATGATAAACCTCTCTCTCCGATCTTGAACCTCCGATCATCGGAGTTTAATACGGGTAAACCGCAGTCCAAACTGATGAATCCTGGCAAGATAAAAAATGTATTACTATTGCACAAAAATGTTTCATTCTTGTTAGAACATGAAGCTTATACGGAAGACTATTAAATGTTTTGAAAAACAGAGAACCCTTAATTTTCTTTAACCAAATCTCTTATATCTATAATCGTTAATATGATTTTCATGGTGGCTATGCATACACAACAGAGTAGAAATCGGTTAGTGATCTCGACCAGTTAAGCAAGAACACTAAACTATATGGTTAATCCTTAGTCAAAAAGTGAACAAGAAGCAATTATTCAATTATTAATAATACTTAAAAACAGATATATAAGGAAATTAAACCTTTCTGATCAGGCGGCTGAGCTTGAACGAGATGTATAATGGCAAAAGCTCCAAAGCTCAACGCCAGTAAAAGTTGACGAAGACGACCCTCCATTTTCAAGTTAACATACAAACTTTTGGTACGATAGACTCTGAAATATATGAAAGAAAATATTGATTTTCTAGTACAAATTATAGAAATACTTTAGATCAAGAAAAATACATATGCATGTTGACGTGGAAAACTCTCCAATAGAATCATTTCATGTTACTCGTCCCAGCACGACTGAAAATTAGTCTAACGAAATATATATTCCACTTTGTGGAAAAAAACGAACAATTTGATTATAAATCAAAGAACCTGATGTAATCTTTTGTGTAAACAATATAAAACCTGCCAAGTTGATCTAATGTCAAAGCTTCATAAACTATATGATAATTTTGCCAACGACTTCAACGACTTGTATTTAACGACAACTTGGTGGATTTAATACATTTTGATCTCAATCATAATCGCAATAGCTCTGCAATAATGTAAAATTCCTGGTCTTTAAAAATAAACTAAGATTAGTCTTTTCTTGACAAACCCTAATTAATATTCGATTCGTTTGCCTGTGATACATTATCTACGGATACTCATAGACGTTGAGAGATAGCTGCTGGCTTCTTATAGTCAAATGTAACGATTAAGTATAATAATTCTCACCATATTTTTTATATACTCTACCGTATGGATAACATGCATGTTTGCATCCATATCACATTCTCAGTACTATATACATTGGCAACCAAGAAATTCTACGTCTTAGGTCAGTAGGCCCGAGATCAACCTTTGTTAATATTTCTTGTTAGGTGGGATTTAGTGGGAAAAGGATCAAACCTTATTTTGGAAAGATCATTTCCAAACGCCACTGGACCATTATCCACTTGATTCACAATTTGTTTTTTATGGAGCTTTGACAATCGGAAACTGTATATATGTGTTAACTATATGAAAATATAACTCTTATGTGATAATTTTTGTTGTTGTTGTTGTTGTTGTTGTTGTTGTTGTTGCTTTTATAATTTAACAAGTTTGTAATAGTTAAAGTGTAGTTGTGAATATATTTTTAAAATTTAGTACTGGCTATCTTGATGCACATATATTTGTATAAATACCTGAGTTTGTAAGAAGCAAATCATTGAATCAAACAAAAATGATCTCTTTATCTTTTTTTTTTCTCCCCACAGTTTAAAAGTTCTCTCTTTTATAAATTTCTTCTGTCATTTTGTTCTTTCTTGAACAGCAAGAAATTGGTTACAAAATTTTGATTTCTAAAATTATTTTTGAGTCAAATGCAAGAAGCAAAATGTTAAATAAAAACTGATCAAAAGATTAAATCAATTCCTTAGCAACTACATGATGACAGTGTAGGCATTGGGCAAGTTCACATTATAGAATAACTTATGGTTGGGTCGATCCAAAAAATAATTTACTAACGTATCAAAATAACTTAAGGTTATGTGGATTACGAGTAATGTTTCAAATAGGTTGTAACTTGTAATTGTTTTTCATATCTAGTGAATCCTTTTTTAACGACCGGGTCGAAATTAAATTACCTAAAACAAACCTTAGCTTGTCATATCCTTGATCCCAAAGTGTTTTCGACATGCGTTTATGCAGTGATCGAAGATCTGTTATGTTTGGTCAAGGGGTTAAAGCAGAGACCGAGAGTTAATTCAACAGGAGATAGACAAACCTTCATGCAAGGAAATTCTTATACATGTCGGAGTCTTATGATTATAGCCTATTAGATTAAACAAAAGTTGAGGTTGTAACGTGTCAAAGAAATTCACACAAGAAACCAAAAATAAAAAATTCTCGCAATTATTCAATCTTTATGTTTGGTCTAAGTTGACTTTCTTTAATGTATTCCAATGTGTGTATATGAGGTATTTCTCATTTACGTAGCTTTCTTTTTTTCACTAAGCAAGTCTTTGTTATGTTCTTGATTTCCATCTAAGCTTTCCAAGAAGATGAGGAGCCATCTTTTGTTGGTCATAATTGGAACCTTTGCCGTTTTGGTTGGCGCCCAAAAACAAGAAGGTAATAATATATAAGCTCTTTAATGGTTATTCATCAAGGATCATCCTTTAACTTGAGATATCTTCTATATATACTCTTTTTTTTTTCTTAAAACTTTGTCTCTCCTTTTTATGCTTGGATATATAGGTTTCATCAGTTTGGATTGCGGATTTCCTATTGAGGAATCTCCTTATAGTGATCCGTCTACTGGATTAACATTCACATCCGATTCGACATTTATCCAGACGGGGAAGAGTGGTAGAGTCGATAAAGAGCTCAACAAAAAATTCCGAAAACCATATTTGACTCTAAGATACTTTCCAGAAGGAAAGCGTAATTGTTATAGTCTAAATGTTAATCGTGGCACAAATTATCTCATATTGGTTACCTTCATATATGGAAATTATGATGGTCTTAATATATATCCAAACTTTGATCTCTATCTTGGTCCTGATAAGTGGGCACGAATAGATATGGAAGGAAGACAAAATGGTACATTCGAGGAGATCATACACAGAGTGAGGTCAAGCTCTTTGGATATTTGTCTCGTTAAAACAGGACCAACCTCGCCGATAATATCATCTATAGAACTACGACCAATGAGAAATGATACTTATGTTACGCATTCGGGCTCACTGAGGAACTCTTTCCGGGTTCATTGTAGCACTTCTGATAGAGAGATAAGGTAAGTTGACTTTGTTTGAAACAATAAGTGAGAGTCCTCTGTCATTAATCATGCACGGCATCAATTTTCTTACACATAAATAATTGTACTTTTGGTAGTATATAAACATCGTTGTTAAGAGTTAATTAGGATAAAATTAAGACACAAGTTGCAACTATCACCGCACAACATGTTTTGTTTTAATTCAACATTTTGTTTTGGTTCTTTCTGTTATTTATTATCAAACTATCATTGTTATACAATTTTTTTAAACATGTAAACAAAAATGATTCGTATATGAATTAAATGTAGTTTGGATTGAGATTTGAATTTGTGTGTCAGCTGTTTTTTTTTTCTGTTTAAATTGGTTTTAAAACATTGAGTTTGGGGGTCTAAATCTTAACAAGGGTTGATTTGCTTAATTATGTTGCCTAATACAACTTACTTGCAGGTATGATGATGACTCCTACGATCGTGTCTGGTATCCATTCTTCAGCTCTTCATTTACCTATATAACGACTAGTCTCAATATAAACAATTCAGATACATTTGAGATACCAAAAGCTGCACTCAAAAGTGCTGCGACACCTAAAAACACTAGTGCGCCGCTGATCATCACTTGGAAACCAAGACCCTCTAATGCTGAAGTTTACTTCTATCTTCATTTCGCTGAGATACAAACTCTTGCAGCCAACGAGACGAGGGAGTTCGACATTGTGTTGAAAGGAAACTTTAATTATTCAGCTTTTAGTCCTCCCAAGTTAGAGCTACTTACATTTTTCACAGCTGCACCAGTGCAATGTGACTCAGATGGTTGCAATTTACAACTCATAAGAACTCCAAACTCAACGCTTCCACCGCTAATCAACGCTCTTGAGGCTTACACTATTATCGAATTCCCACAATTAGAGACAAGCCTAAGTGATGGTACCTCACTCGAACTTTCACTTATTATCACATACTTGTTTTTTGGCTTTTCATATATGCTATTGACTTTTTGTATCTAATTTTTATGTTAGTTATTGCTATGAAAAACATTAAAGCTACGTATCGACTGAGTAAAACTAGTTGGCAAGGAGATCCATGTCTCCCTCAAGAATTATCCTGGGAAAATCTTAAATGCAGTTATACAAATATCTCCACTCCACCAAAAATAATTTCATTGTAAGGGCATTACGAAACATAGTTCCTAATTCAAAACTAAATTAACCAAATATATTTTCAGTGTTTATCTTATTTTATTTGTTGCATTGTTAGAAACTTGTCAGCCAGTGGATTAACTGGGAGTCTAGCCTCATTTTTTCAAAATCTAACGCAAATACAAGAGCTGTAAGTAGTACTTATATTCTTGACTCATCAAACACAGAATGGTTTGTTCGGATGTTACATGTAAGCGAACCATATGTATTTATGTATGGCACGCAGGGACTTATCTAACAACAGTTTGACTGGACTTGTGCCTGCTTTTCTGGCCAACATTAAATCACTATCTTTGATGTAAGTTTTTTAGAAAGAAGAATGAACATTTTGTATGTGTTTTAGTTGTTGTTCGATTTCGCTACATATATATGATGGTTTTTTTTTTTTTGTTTCCTTAACAGAGACTTGAGTGGGAACAATTTTACCGGTTCAGTTCCGCAAACTCTTCTTGATAGAGAAAAGGAAGGACTTGTCTTAAAGTAAGATTATTTTTCCCATTAAAGGCATACATTTATCAACTAAATAGAAGTGGTATATATAAACGGTAGTATTTGTATAACAATTAGATTAGATTGCTTAAATATATTGATTTATTTATGGCAAAATATGGTCTTAGGTGTACTTAGAAATTCAGATATGTTCCATCCATCTCTGTATGATACACTAATTTAACAATCTCGGTATCACATGTTCCTTGTAGACTTGAAGGAAATCCAGAGCTATGCAAGTTTAGTTCATGCAATCCAAAAGAGAAAAAGGGATTATTGGTACCGATTATTGCATCAATTTCCGCTGTGCTTGTTGCAATAGTGGTTGTGGCTCTCTTTTTTGTTTTCCGAAAAAAGAAAGTGCCTTCAGGTGAGTCTCTAAGCATATAATCATTAGAGAAATTTCCTAAAATCAAGGTATATAAATCAATCATTGTACCTTGTAGATGTACATGCTCCAACAAGCATGCCTGTAGTAGATGTTGGACATGCTAAACATTCAGAACCATCATTCGTCTCGAAAAAGATAAGGTTTACTTATTTCGAGGTTCAAGAAATGACAAATAACTATCAGAGAGTTCTTGGTGAAGGCGGCTTTGGAGTCGTTTATCATGGTTGTGTTAATGGTACCCAACAAGTAGCTGTTAAATTGCTCTCTCAATCATCTTCTCAAGGCTATAAACATTTTAAGGCAGAGGTTAGACTTTGACCCGGTGATCTTTGTTGGAATCTAATTGTTGTTTACATGTACTTTCTATCTTTAAAAGTATTAGCTAATGGGTGGTTCGTTAGGTGGAACTTCTTATGAGAGTGCACCATAGAAATTTGGTGAGTCTTGTTGGTTATTGTGACGAAGGAGACCATTTGGCCCTCATCTACGAGTACATGCCAAATGGAGACTTAAAACAACATTTATCAGGTATAAGAACATATTTACAACTTTTTGTTAAAATTGAACCATGACGTTTAGAGTATTGTTTGAAAAATAATCAAAACATTAATTATCTCAATTTTGTGTCGGTTTGATACAGGAAAGCGTGGTGGATTTGTCTTAAGCTGGGAAAGTAGACTAAGAGTAGCTGTTGATGCAGCACTAGGTACACTCTAATTTATTAATAATACTTTTAAGAAGATTATATAGTTCAGATTTTAACTTTTCATAGTATTCGAATGGAAAAATCATTGCCAGCTACACGAATTATACGCCAACACATCACCACACATGCAGACTATTTTAATGTCTCGCTAACTACACGAACTATTGGTATTACATACGGACATCCCCGAACTATCATCGGTTATGTGTGCAACACCATAACCATCATTTTCAGATAATATAAATGTCTTGTTAACTACACGAAGTATTTCTTTTTTTTGTCAACTACACGAAGTATTTTCCATCAATTTTTTTTTTTAAAAAAAGTAATTAAAAAATAAAAAATAACTAAAAAGTAAATATTACACTATTATAAATTATATATATATATATATTATAACTTTTAATGCATTATACTTTTAAGTTAAATTAACTTAACTAATTTAATATTTATTATATTAAATTGTTAAAAATTTAAAATAGTCACTTAGTTAAATTATACATCACTATAAGTTAAATAAAACTATATAATATATAAATTTAAATTATATATACCATAACCATCATTTCCAGATAATATAAATGTATTGTTAACTACACGAAATATTTCCATCATTTTTTTAAAACTAAATTACAAAATGAAAAATAACTAAAAGTAAATAATACACTATTGTTAATTATATATATGCATTATAACTTTTAAAGTTTAAATTCTACATATGCAGTATCCCTTATAATTTTAAGTTAAATTAATTAACTAATTTTTAATGCACACATGCATATGTTTTATATGAAATTAATTTAACTAAATTTTTAAAAGTGTCACTTAATTAAATTATACATGTTCATTATAGGTTTAAGTTAATTAACAAATTTTTAATGAACACATATATTTTTATGGAACTAGTTTAGTCTTTATTACATTAAAATTTTAAAGTTAGAATAGTTATAATGTACATATATAATTTACATTGATATATTATATAGTTTTATTTAACTTATTAGTTTTTAAAAAAAATTGATGAAAATACTTTGTGTAGTTGACAAAAAAAAGAAATACTTCGTGTAGTTAACAAGACATTTATATTATTTGGAAATGATGGTTATGGTGTTGCACACATAACCGATGATAGTTCGGGGATGTCCGTATGTAATACCAATAGTTCGTGTAGTTAGCGAAACATTAAAATAGTCTGCATGTGTGGTGATGTGTTGGCGTATAGTTCGTGTAGCTGGCAATAATTTTTCCTATTCGAATTGCTTCTAGTTAATCAGCAAGCAACCATATACCATGTGGTGTAGTGAAAATTAATTATGCGACACTCGATGAAACACTTCATTTTAGTGACTTATTTGCCAAGACATAATTCGGCACTAAAATTTGTTATGTAGGTTTGGAGTACTTACACACTGGATGCAAACCACCAATGGTTCACAGAGATATAAAAAGTACAAACATACTTTTGGATGAACGTTTCCAAGCCAAATTAGCCGACTTTGGGCTTTCGAGATCTTTTCCTACCGAAAATGAAACACATGTTTCAACCGTTGTTGCTGGAACTCCTGGTTATCTTGATCCCGAGTGAGTATTTTCTTCATATTGTATGTTAGTCCATAAACTTGCACCATCCCTTTTGATAATTAATAGTCATAAACCATCTCCCATGTTTTGTTTTGCAGGTACTATCAAACAAATTGGTTAACAGAGAAAAGTGATGTTTATAGTTTTGGAATTGTACTATTGGAGATCATAACAAACCGTCATATTATTGAGCAATCTCGTGAAAAGCCTCATATAGTAGAATGGGTTGGATTTATTGTAAGAACGGGAGATATTGGAAATATTATAGATCCAAACCTCCACGGAGCTTACGACATCGGTTCTGTCTGGAAGGCTATTGAACTAGCTATGTCATGTGTGAATATTTCTTCGGCAAGAAGACCAAGCATGTCTCAAGTTGTTAGCGATCTTAAAGAATGTGTGATATCTGAAAATTCAAGGACAGGAGAGAGTCGAGAAATGAACTCAATGAGTTCCATCGAATTCAGCATGGGAATTGACACCGAGGTGATCCCTAAAGCACGCTAGTTCTTTAAAATGAATTTACCCTTGTTGCATTATGATGAATCTTCAATTCTGTATCTCTAAAGGGTTTACTGTAAACTGATTATTGGATTTGATGCAATATTCAAATAATTTTGTTGTAGTTTGATTTATGTTGTCGTGGAAAACTTTTGAATAGCTAGAAAACTTTTATGGTGAAATGCACACCATATTTTCTTGTTGACAAAAAGAAATGCACCGAATAGAGGCACTAGATGAATAATTCTACTACGTTTTGAAGAAGTTCATTGAAAGACGATTTTTTGACGTAACCGAACAAAAGTTTGAGTAGTTCAATTTGGATTCAGTTTAAGGGCTATCAACCGACCATATTTAGTGTGAAGATAGTTCGAATTTTGGTGAGGTTTGGACAAAATATATACAAAGTTTGTATCCTTTTTCCTCCGTTTATTTGGCTGGTCAATCCTAGATCATCTTTTGTCTTAGATATAAAAATCTTTTCTTACGAAGAACCTTGGATTCTCTAATCATTTATTTTCAAATATTGCTTCTCCATCGTCATTTTCTTACGTTTAAAAAATTTCAAGAAACCAGACACAATTTATGATCCTGTCCTCTCTTTCCTAGTTCAAAAGCACTCTCCCCCTTTTATTAGTTCTTCTTTCATTTTGTTCTCTCTTGCACAACAAGTAAATGATTTCAAATATTAAATTTGCCTCTTCTCTTATTGTTGCACCAATTGGAAAAACAAAATTTCAATTGAAACCGATCCAAAATAAAAAAAAATAAAAAATTAGCAACTGGAAGATTAAATTCTTCATAAACTGTAAGTAATATATAGAACTAAACTATGATTAGTTTGCCGCTTAAAAATTCAAGAAATACAATGTGTTAGTGAATAACGAAAATGATCTTTGTTTTATAATTCTGAAAAATTAGTTATAAATATAATTATATATATATATATATATATATATATTGTTTTTTTTTTCAAATCTTGTAAACTAGTTTATAGGTCTCGAAAAGAAACCTTAATATATCTTTGTGTCTCGAAGGTTTCTGCATTCATTTATTTTGGTGGCTGACTACTAAATGAAGATATACCAAATTATTTTTCTTCACTCAAGCAATTTAAGCACATAGACAAAGTAAGACCATCTGGCGATAAACCACACATTCGTGGAGGACATACTCTTACACATGACGAGTCTCCTGAACATATACTAGATCCAACACCAGATAGATTACTTCCACGATCATTATTTAATTTTCTACCCGAAGTTGACTTTTGTATATTCCTTGGAACGTATACATGAGGTATTTCTCATTCTCATATCGTTTGCAGTTTTTTTCTAAGCGAGTCTTTGTTGGTTTTCTTGATTTCTATAGGAACCAGAAAGTGATCGAGAGAGAACATGAAGATTCATATTTTGTTGGCCATGATTGGAACCTTTGTCGTTATAGTTGGAGCCCAGGATCAAGAAGGTAATAATATATCATCTTTTTCTTGGTTATAAATCAGTCCTTTGACTTGAGATATCTTATATAAGAATTATATCATTTTTCCCATTTATTGCTTTTATGCTTGAACAGGTTTCATCAGTTTAGATTGTGGATTACCTATTGATGAATCTCCTTACAATGATTCATTTAATGAATTAACATTCACATCGGATTCCACTTTCATACAAACCGGAAAAATTGATAGAGTCGATAAAGATCTTAGCATAAACTTATCAAGACAATATATGACTCTTAGATACTTCCCAGAAGGAAAACGTAATTGTTACAGTCTCGATGTCAAGCGTGGCACAACTTATCTCATCGTGGTTAGCTTTGTATATGGAAATTATGATGGTCTTAATCGTGATCCAAACTTCGATATCTATCTTGGTCCAAATAAGTGGAAAAGAATAGATTTGGATGGAGAGAAAGAAGGTACAAGAGAAGAGATCATACACAAAGTCATGTCAAACTCTTTGGATATCTGTCTTGTTAAGACAGGAGAAACTTTTCCAATAATTTCTGCCATAGAAATACGGCCACTGAAGAATAAAACGTATGTTACACAATCTGGTTCGCTGATGCTGTCTTTCCGCGTGTATCTTAGCAATTCAGATGCATCTATAAGGTAAGTCAATTCTATTTTAAGCATTCAATGTGAGTTTTTTTTCATAAATATCACATCTCTTTTATTTCTTGAGAAAATATGAATGAGGATATGTTGAGTTTACTTGTGTTGAATACATTATCGGTGAATGATGTGATCAAATTATTATGACTCCAACTACATTATGCCACAACTACTAACGTTATGGCGAAACAATAGCTCACTTGGTTTGCGTTGCTAGGGTCAAAAGGGAAATGATTCCACGCATATGATTGAGTATAGGAACCAAAAATGCATTCCCATTTTTGAAAGTTTAAAGTCCTGTAGGTTTAGAAGGTTCACGAAACCCTTTTAAAGTTTCGCGCCCATACAAATTACTTAATTCCTTTGGCTAATACAATTAACAATTTACTGTAGGTATGCTGATGATGTCCATGATCGTATTTGGTCACCATTCACCGGCTCTTCATTTACGCATATAACAACCAATCTCAATATAAACAATTCAAATGCATATGAGATACCAAAAACTATACTCCAAGGTGCTGCCACTCCAAAAAACGCGAGTGCGCCACTCATTATTACGTGGGAACCCATACCCACTAATGCTGAAGTATACTTGTACATGCACTTTGCGGAGATTCAAACACTTGAAGCCAACGAGACAAGGCAATTCGACGTTATCTTGAGAGGAAACTTTAATCATTCAGGATTTAGTCCAACCAAGTTAAAGGTATTTACCTTATTCACAGAAGAACCAATGAAATGTGGTTCAGAAGGTTGCCATTTACAGCTAGTAAGAACACCAAATTCAACTCTTCCACCTTTGATCAACGCTCTTGAGGTATACACTGTTATCGAGTTCCCAAAATTGGAAACAAGTCTTAGTGATGGTACCTCTCAACTTTCAATAATTAAAGGAAAGTAACTTATATTCTGCATTATGATATTTATTTTTTACATTCTCTTAATATTTTGTCAGTGGACGCTATCAAGAACATCAAAAATACTTATCAACTGAATAAAATCACTTGGCAAGGAGATCCATGTCTCCCTCAATATTTGTCGTGGGAAAATATTAGATGCACCTACGTAGATGACTCCACTCCACCAACTATCATTTCCTTGTAATGTCATTCACAAACTTACCTTTTAATTTTAAACTAGTTTATCTAAATTTTTTGTATATGTTTCTGTGCTTGTATAATTAGAGATTTGTCGAAAAGTGGATTAAATGGGAGCATATCCCTAATTTTACAAAATCTGACGCAATTACAAGTACTGTAAGTATCTCTATATTTTATCAACTGAACCAAGAATGATTTTTTCGGATATAGCATGTAAGCCAATCTTTTTTGTTTGTGCATGTAACCACAGGGACTTATCAAATAATAGCTTGACTGGACCAGTGCCTATCTTCCTTGCCACGATGAAATCGTTATCCTTAATGTAAGCTTTCGAAAAAGAACAATGAACATTTTGACCATGATTTTTTTTGTTGAAATTTCGTGTGTATGTTTACATATAATGGTTATCTTCGTCTCAACAGAAACTTAAGTGGGAACAATCTTAGTGGCTCAGTTCCTCAAGCTCTTCTTGACAGAGAAAAAGAAGGACTTGTGTTAAAGTAAGATTTCTTTTTCCATGAAGGGAATGTATTTGCTAATCATATAGTAAAAAAAGTGGAGGAACTTCATTTTTGGAGACTATCTAACGGCTCGATCTTTTTTTTACATAAGAGAATTCATGTCGAATAATTTATCGCAAAATATGGTACCTGACAGTTCGATTATGCCTTTCCTATGCACGTTGATTAACAATTTCAATATCGCATATTTTTCGTTGTAGACTTGAAGGAAATCCAGAATTGTGCAAATCCAGTTTTTGCAATAAAGAAAAAAAGAAAAAAAATTTCTTGCTAGCTACTGTTGCATCAGCTGCTTCTTTGCTTATTGTAGTTGTGATTGTGGCTCTCTTTTTTGTCTTTCGAAAGAAGAAGGCCGGGCCTTCAGGTAAGTTATGAACCATTACTAATTATTGACCTGCTATAAATCAATGCATATAGTTAACATAACCAAATACTTTACGATGTAGATCAACACAATCCACCAAGTATGACTGTCTCGAATGTCGAGAAAACTAATCAATCATCAATCATATCAAAAAAGATTAGGTATACTTACTCTGAGGTTCAAGAAATGACAAATAATTTCGATAAAGCTCTCGGTGAAGGAGGATTTGGAGTCGTATATCATGGTTTTGTTAATGTTACTGAACAAGTAGCCGTTAAATTGCTATCTCAATCATCTTCTCAAGGCTATAAGCATTTCAAAGCAGAGGTACCATTTTTTCATTGAACCTAAATAGATATCCAGTAAATTTGTATATCTTTAAGCGCATATGCTAATGGATGATTGGTTAGGTGGAACTCCTTTTGAGAGTTCACCATATAAATTTGGTGAGTCTTGTTGGGTACTGTGATGAAGGAGAACACTTGGCTCTTATTTATGAATACATGCCAAATGGAGACTTAAAGCAACATCTATCAGGTAATATCACATATATACTGTTTTGTTAAAAAAAAAAAAAACCCTAACCATGATATAAAATTTTACTTAGAGTAAATATCATAATTTAAGTGATATGAAATGTGTGTCTAATCGATACAGGAAAGCATGGCGGATTCGTCCTGAGCTGGGAAAGTAGACTAAAGATAGTTGTGGATGCAGCACTAGGTATTCATTAAACTTTACGAAAAGTTTTTAGTTAACAATTACAACTTTTAATGGTATTAGTGATCGAGACTATATTAGAAAGGAACCTTATGTTACCATATGATGATATCGAAATTAATCTTTATTCATTTTCCAATAAATGATGGTAATAAATTTAATATGTAGGATTGGAGTATTTACATACTGGATGTATACCACCAATGGTTCACAGAGATATCAAAACTACGAATATACTTCTAGATCAACATCTCCAAGCCAAATTAGCTGATTTTGGGCTTTCGAGATCTTTTCCCATCGGAAACGAAAAACATGTGTCAACTGTTGTTGCTGGTACTCCAGGATATCTTGATCCTGAGTGAGTATGACACTTTATATTCTAAAGTTCACAAATCACCATTGTTTTTGATACTTTATAATCACAAAACCATTTTTTTTTGCAGGTATTATCAAACAAATTGGTTGACAGAAAAGAGTGATATATACAGTTTCGGAATTGTATTGTTAGAGATAATTACAAACCGTCCTATAATTCAACAATCCCGTGAAAAACCTCACTTAGTGGAATGGGTCAGTTTTATGATAACAAAAGGAGATATTAGAAATATTATGGATCCAAACCTCCACCACAATTATGACATTGGTTCTGTCTGGAAGGCCATTGAAATAGCAATGTCATGTGTGAATCTTTCTTCTACAAGACGACCAAACATGTCTCAGGTTGCGAATGAATTAAAAGAATGTGTGATATCCGAAACCTCTAGGATAGGAGAGGGACGAGACATGGAATCAAAAGGTTCAATGGACTACAGTAAAGACATTTATAATGAGGTAATCCCTCAAGCTCGCTAGCTCGCCAAGTTTATTCTTGTTTGTTATTCTTCTCATGAATATTCAAATTTGTGTTTTCAAGAGTTTTGTTTTGCCAATAATAACTAAGGCTTTCACTAATAACATGTAATACTGATGTTGAATTTTCATAGTTTGATATATATTTTGTGATATACATTTGGTGAAATTTATTTAAATTATTTCATGAATTGTAATCAACAACTAAGTCTCTTTGTTTCTATCTCAAGAAAGGCGTTAGGTTGTTCCCACTTTGGGTACTTTTAAAACCAAAGGAAGAGTTGAATATACCAAAACTTATGTATTTCCTTCAAAGCTTAAGAGCTGTTTATATGTCCTTCAAAGAAGATAAATAAACAAGATATAAATGGTCTAATAAACCAAAAGGTGGTCAAAGTTTAGTCTAGAAATAAAACATGAACGTATAGAACTTGTTTACAAGCGTATATCTTGTTTTTTTTTTTTTTTATGAATGTAAAATTATATTCACCAAAAAAAACTGTTTTACAATAAATGCAACATCAAGCCGAATAAGCGAGAGAAATTTTGGAAGAGATTACAATAAAGAGCTTAGCAAGAGTGAGATTGGAACCAATATCGCAATCCACCTTCGTAGATAGGAGAGCCCGTCATTTTTAAGGTGTTCAGCCGGTTTCGAACATTCTTATCAATCAGCTTAGCTAGCTTGGAGGCCATAATTGGTGGCTTCCCGTGTCGTCTCCCGTTCCTTTCTGTCCATAGACTATGAATGGATGACTGAAACACATATCTCAATACAAATAAATGAAGTTTTGGAGTAGACAGAGACATGTATAATAGTAAATGTTACGAAGAACTCCAA